AAATAAAAAATTAAATTATCAAATAAATTAAAAATTCAGATCAAATGTTAAATCCCTTACCATGTAAGCATGACATGGCAATATTTTGCCATCCAAGCAGCCAAGCGGGGTGTGTCGTCAACGGCAGTTAAGTCAGACGAGCAATCCAAACGGCAGTTAAGTTGGCGTGAGAAGAAGGGCTTAATTGCTTTGATCCCAGAGTTTAAGGGATTATATGCATCAATTAAAGTTTAGGGGCTTAATAGCGATTCTGGGGTTAGTTCAGGGGCTTAACTTATGGTTTTGCCAAAAAAACGACACGCAAAGCAGGTACGGGGTATTCAAGCACATATGACTAGTTATTTATAAGCAAAACCATAAGTTAAGCCCCTGAACTAACCTCAGAATGGCTATTAAACCCTTAAACTTTAATTGATGAATATAAGCCCTTGAACTCTGCGATCAAGGCAATTAAGCCCTTCTTCTTACGCCAACTTAACCGCCATTTCAGACTCGCTCACCTGGCTTAACTGCCGTTTGGGACTTGCCCGCCTGGCTGCTTGGATGGCAAAATATTGCCATATCATGCTTTTATGGCTAGAGATTTGACATTTGAGCTGGATTTTTACTTAAATAAAATCTAAATAAAATAAAGTCATACATTCAATGGAAATATTATTTAAATAAAATCTTAAATTTAAATTTAAGATTTTATATAAATAATATTTTCATCCAAATTTATGATTTTATTTTAGTTATATTTTATTTAAATAAAAAAATAAATTATCAAATAAATTAAAAATCCAAATCAAAAGTTAAATCCCTTACCATGTAAGCATGACATGGCAATATTTTGCCATCCAAGTAGCCAAGCGGGGTGTGTTGTCAACGGCAGTTAAGTCAGATGAGAAATCCAAACGGCAGTTAAGTTGGCGTAAGAAGAAGGGTTTAATTGCTTTGATTCCAGAGTTCAAGGGCTTATATGCATCAATTAAAGTTTAGGGGTTTAATAGCGATTCTGAGTTTAGTTCAGGGGCTTAACTTATGATTTTGCCAAAAAAAGGACACGCAAAGCAGGTACGGGGTATTCAAGCACAAGACTAGTTATTTATAGGCAAAACCATAAGTTAAGCCCCTGAACTAACCCCAAAATGGCTATTAAGCCCTTAAACTTTAATTGATGCATATAAGCCCTTGAACTCTGCGATTAAGGCAATTAAGCCCTTCTTCTTACACCAACTTAACCGCCATTTGAGACTCGCTCGCCTGGTTTAACTGCCGTTTGGGACTTGCTCGCCTGGTTGCTTGGATGGCAAAATATTGCCATGTCATGCTTTTATGGCTAGAGATTTGACATTTGATCTGGATTTTTAACTTATTTGATCATTTAATTTTTTTACTTAAATAAAGTCTAAATAAAATAAAGTCATACATTCAATAGAAATATTATTTAAATAAAATCTTAAATTTAAATTTAA